TTTTTTCTTACAGTGTATCAATATTTTTCTATTGTAGCTGTATGTTAATTGTTAGTAGACGTCTGATCAGTTATGGTTTTTGCTATAGACAGATACGAGTAAGGCTTCAGGAAGAGCGAAAAGCGAGTCTATCAACGCGCTCGGTATTAGCATTAACGCTGCAGCATTTTTATACTAATTAACTCCGCGTCGGGTATATCAAGAACGGACTCCCGTATTAATGTATACCGGATCGACGTCGAAAAGGATGTAATACCTTTTGGCGTGGGAGCCATGTTAGGTAGGGTCGCAATAGCATTCTTATGTATTAAAATGGTTTTTTCACGATTTTATGCATTAAGTATTTTGATAGTCACTGTGCGAACTATTGTGACTAAGCGTGACACGAGACATAGTGCGTAGAACGATAAAAAAGACATGAGCAGACAAGTCCCACAGTGACAATGTTTACACTCGAGAACAATACACACAGCATTGAGTACTTTTACATAATCATTAACTATATACTCTGTACAATAAAGTGACTCCGGTCAGAGGGTTATATACCTCTCCTAGCATTCAGAGAAGCCGAGCGACGACCAGCCGAACTGTACTTACCAGGTGTTGTTACCCTTGTGACAAATATCGAAAACACGGATTAACTTTCGCTAAATCCACGAGTGCGGAAATAAGACAAAATGTACCATGTGAGCATTCACTCTTTTAGATACAAAGGCATACTTACTATTGGCCGTAATGCGGGCGGAAGCACATACGTAAGTACATGTATTAAATCCTCTCACCTTATATTCTCGCTAACTGAACAGTCAGTTTATCTCAAATACAAGGCACATTCACGGCAACACCTTTTATAATCATCAGGGAGTTTCACACTATCAACATCCCACGTTACAGATAGGAGAAACGTATTTATAGTACGTACACAGATTGTAGACTTCCTCCATCCAAAAGCTCAGCGTCTAGCTACAACAGAAACCATAACACACAACACTAACCACCATATCGAGAGATAACAGACAGCACATATCTCGTTCTACCTCTCTGGCTTCGAGAAACAATAATGTCTTTCCTTTTACTACGTATGAGTATGACAGTAACACACAGCGCCGCAGTTTATTTATCCGACTGGTTTAACTCTCTCGATTCGTTTCATACTGTTACTGTGTATTGTCTGGAGATTTACACTAAAACCGAATCAAGAAGGCTTATGGTTACCAGTTTGCCATTCAATGTAAACTAGTAATACAAAGGGTTATAAATGTTCTAATCCTTTTTTTACCGACTACAACCATCTCACAATTCTAGTTAGCTTCGCTACGT